ATGTGGAGACAGTTCAAGTCCACATTGACCACTAAATGGGTGTATGCTGAGGACAAAGTGAGGAAGGGATTAACCCCTTGCCAAAGATATGGCATAGATGAGGAGACTTGGAAGAAGTTTGTACATAGTAGGACTGGTTCAGAGTGGGAGGTAATGTTAATTGCTTAATTGACTTGAACATTTTATAATGAGTTGTGTATCTAATATTGTGTTCAATTATGTTGCAGGAAAGAAGACAAAAAGCAAAAGACATTCAGAGCAAGAATGTCGCCCCCCACCTTCTGTCTCGTGGTGGGTACGACCTATTGACAAAGAAGATGATGGAGGAGAAGATGAGACTTCGACAGTCGGAGTTAGCCTCTTCCGGTTTAAGCGAAGAGCAGATTCCTCCACCATCTCCTCCAAAACGTCACCGGAAGTGGAAGAGGGCTCGTACAAAGCCTTCTGGTGACATGACATCGCAGGAAGCCCAAGAAATTGCTGCTCGGATTGTAAGTAAAAGAAGTTAATTTACTTTGAATTAGTTATATGTAACTTGTTCATTAATAAAATTAACTTTTATAATGTAGGATGCCTTGGAGGAGCAAGTGTACACAAGGAACTTTCATCCCTTCTGGTCGTCAGGATATCTTGACCACTACTATTGGACGACCAGAACATCCAGGTCGTGTTCGAGCTGTTGGCCAAGGTGTGGGTGTCCGACAATATTTTGGACCACCATCACAGGATATCCGCACCTCCACATCCCTGAGCCAAGAAGATATTGCTGCCTTGGAGATGGCTCTCACAGAGAAATTGACACCAGCCATCAGGGCAAAATTGGAGGAAGAGTTTACTCCCGCCATCGGCGCACGACTTGAGGAGACCATCACCGTACGTGTGCGGGAGCGGTCTCTGCGTATGACCTCCATGGGTACTTCATTTGCTGATGCTCATCCTCCATCAGGTGCATTTTCAACCACAAATTGCTACTTGACTTATGTTTCTAAAATCTTAGTCCTTATTGGAATTTACTGTATTTGTAGGTCCAAGAGTTAGCACAAAGGGCAGTTGTGTTGAAGCCACTATCGAGGTCACACCTGAGGTGGCATCTATTCATCCCGAATCCACAAAGGATGATCGATATGGCTTGTGGGTTGAGGTAGATGAAGGTCTAAGGCTAGTGGCCCATGGATCGGTTCATGAAGGGGCTTCAACCATCCACAATGTGCCTTTGGATCCTAACTTGGTCAAAGTAGTGGTTGAAAAGGTGGTTGACGTTGCGGCTAGTGTCCCTATCCCCACCGAAGAGGTGCGGACAGTGGGCCAAGCCCTTCAGACCTTCATTACTTGGCCCCGACATTTAGTTAGGTCAATAATGGCAAAGGTATGTATATGTATGGTTATAATACATCTAACACATAAATAAATTAATTTATTGTTTATGATTATATTTTATAAAATATGTAGGATGTTCAGCAGCCAAAAGACTTGGGTAAAGCTATTGCCACTCCTTCGCATCTAAGGAGAAGACACCAGTTGTGGAGACTTCTCCAAATCCAATTTTTGATCTCTTGTCTCTTTCCCCACAATTGTATTTGGAGTCATTCCAAGTTCCATGGGATTGTACATTATTTGGGATGGCTTCTAGCAATATCCCCCTATACATTTCCCACATCGATGCTCGGAGATTGGGATGGGCAATCAATGTCTAAATATAGTCTGTTTTACAATTTTGGACATTGTAAGTTCATATCTTTCATGACTCTTTTCATTTTAGTAAATATATAAGCTATAAGTTCACTTAAATTGGCATATTTTAGGATGATGCACGAAATGATAGTGGAGCAGGGCATTGGTCATGTATATGGATTCTTCGAGCCTCAATCCATACAAAAGTCCTGGAATAAGCGTGATCAAATTCTCGGTTACATGCGGAATTGGATCACTGATTCTAAAAGAGATATTTACCTTGGAGCATACCATCATTCGTAATTTATCCCAGCCTCTTCCGGTTTTACACAAGTTTTTTTAATAGATTCTAATCATGTGTATATACGAAACCACTGGCAGCTATTAGTTATTTGTCCAAAGCGAGAATCTTGTGTGTTGGTTCTGCTCATTGGGAAGGAAACCTGACATGGAGCTAAAATATATTGTAAACGAGTAAGTATTTCTTATATTATGTCTAAACATCTTGATTATTCTATTTCTAACCCCCTTCTTTTCAATATATAGTGCTCTCAAGGTTTGTAGTACATTAGGTGGAAAACACACAAGTAAAAGCACAGACTCCAAATTGGAATTTTATCAAAGTAAGTAGCCTTTATATATATTATACTATCTATTAATTTATGTTCAAATTTAATAGTTATTTTTAACATATTTAGTCATTTTTAGTGTAACAAACAAAATGGAGGATACGAGTGCGGCTACTATGTAATGTATTGGATGTGGCTCATCATTTTTGGTAGCATTCGGGATAGTTGGAATGAGGTAAGTTGACATTTTCTATTATATTCAATTCCTTTATTTTTATTGCTTAGGGTTTACCATTCTATTATTGTGAACTTCTTACAGGCATTTAAAGATATAGAACCTTTGCCTATGGATACTATAGACATGGTTAGAAACAAATGGGCAGAAAAGTTTGTACAAGTAGTTAGGAATAGGATTGATTGATAATTTTTTGTGTATTTTGTACATAATTTGGCTGATTTTGACATATATATCTATCATTTTATATATTAGTGATTAGCTGACATAAATATACTGTCTGGACTGAGATTATAGCAGGTCGTGTGTTGGTGGCACTAAAACAGACCAACATTTAAAAAAAAAAAAGGAATATTCTACGTCGATTATTGCATTAACCGACGTTGTAACGTCGGTCGCTTGAGAGATACAGAGGTCGCTTGAGCGATACAGAACCCGAGAGTCCCCTTTGTTTGAAGGCTTCGTCGCTCAAGCGAGTACACCGGTCGCTTGAGCGAGAAAGGACTTTCAACGTCGGTTAGTTCAATAACCGACATAGAATTTACTAATTTCTACGACGGACATTTGGTTACCCGACGTAGATATATATCACTTTCAACGTCGGGTATTCTGAACCGACGTAGAATCCTTTGACATTCAACGACGCCTGAATCAATGACGTCATTGGAACCGACGTTGAATGCCTTGTATAACCGACGTTGAATGATCATTCTGTAGTAGTGTAAATGTGTTTTTTCTTGTAGTGTTTAATCGATTATTTTGAATTTATATCAGTTAAAATATTGGTAGAAGGTTTTCGAACACTCTTTTAATGAAAATAATTGATTATTTCAAAAGTGTATCGATTAAAATAGCTTCAACAAATGTTTTAAATGATTTTAATCGATTATTTCGAAAACATATTAGTTAATTGCACACAACTTCAAATCCTTCATCTCGTTGTGTAGCATTCTCAATTGCACACTCCTTCCTTTATCATTGAATCTGAAATCTTGCAACAATAAAATAACAACAGTAATCAGATAGAGTATAAACCCTAATGCAATTCGTAGTACATAAGGTTTTCCTTTCTACACTCCAAGTATCATTTCTAAATAATATGTAAATAATAACAATGAATTATTTACATGGAAATGAAATGGTTTCAATTTGGTGGAGTGCAACATGAAAAGGTTTAAGGTTGGAGAATGAGATTTGAGTGTAAATGTTATTTTCATTTTTTAATTATATCATCTTACAATGACCTATTTAGTGAGTGATTCATATCTTTTAATCATTATTTTAATAATTATAATTTTGTTTATAATTTAAAAAAAAATATTTATAAAAAATATTATTTCCCAAACTTTTTACCATTTTGTTAAATATTTATGTAAATTTATATTCTTAAAAAATAGTAAAAAATTAAAATTATTTCTTGCAATATTTTAAGAATATAAAATTATATGAAATATTTAATAAATGGTAGGAAAATTTGTAAAAAACATTTACAAATAATTTCTTCCGTTAAAATTCACAACTATTCCTTGTGAATTATATTTTGTAGAAATTTTGAAATTGTCTTCTAGAAATATTTTTCTTATGAAGATCTGCATAAAATAAAATATTTTCTAGTAGTATATATCAAATTTTATTTTTATATTTTGCCGTATTAACAAAAATTAATCCATAAAATTTTATTACATTGTATTAATTAAATAATAATTTTCTTATTAAATATTTTTTTTATGAATTATATATTTTATATTTATCAACATTTTAAAGTAAAACTTAAAAAATAACTACTTGTATATAATCAAATAGTTTAATATAATATTATAATATATAATAATAATAATAATATTATTATTATAAATATTCTAGAGAAAAAATGATTAAATATTTTTTTACATATATATTTTAATATAAATATAATAAATTAAAATATATATTCAATTAATAATAATAATTTAAAAGTTATAAAATTATAAATATTTATTTATATATAAAAATAATATTAAAATTAAATTATTATAAGTATAATTATTTAAAAAAAATATTGAATTGAGATGAAAAAACTCAGAATCCTATAAAAATAAAAATATGAATTTAATTTTTAAACTCGACAAAAATGAAAATAAAGATGATTAAAAAGGTCGAGACCGTCCCACCCGTTGTCATGCGTATATATCACAAGTTACATAAATAATCTTAATCAAATATGATGAAATTGTTATAGAATAAAACAAAACAATCATATGTTAACTCAGCCACTAACCCTCAATAGTAAACACATGAAATTTAAACGTAGAATTAACCAAATTTACAATTAGACGTCATGTTTTGAAATGTATATAAATTCATCAATCATAAAAACATTTAATAATTATGTAAGTTTATATTTTGAAAAAATAAATCATTTATTCGCCATAAAGATCACCTAGGTAGGTGATAGATACCTAATAATAGCAATCTTATTCAGAAATACACACACGTAACAAAAATAGATACAAGTGTACCAAAACCAAAGTAATTGAAAAACTTTACTATAACCCACTCAAGTATGGGACACCAGTTTGAGGAATCCAATTATCCCCGTACAAGAAGTTTGAGACGGTGAAATTGGTTGCATCTGTGGCACTGATAACGTGATAACCCGGCCAAGTCACTCGGTTCGTAGTGTTAGAAGCAGGTCCTGTGTTGTCATATTCTGCATAGTACAAGGTACTCAATGCAAAATCGCCACTCCATTCATGCCAACCAGCAGGGTCTATCAAACTGTCCATAAAGGACTGCATGATGACTGTCCTTGAATATTGCTTCCATGGTCTCCCAAGGTAGGTTTGCACCGTGCCAACGTTAGGAGCCAAATCATCAGCAGCTTTGATGGTGGCATTCTGTATGGAAGTGCCTGTGTTTTGATTCGGGTCAGTTCTACCTTGAGCTGTGATCGTGTTGAATTGTCCACTGAGAGGGAGGCGAGAATATATGTTGCAGTTTTGCAAAACAACAGCAGCGTTACCAAATATGTAGTCAACGGTGCCATATATGTCGCATTCTCGGTAAAATTGCCTCAGAGAATGTGTATACAATGTATCTTGATACCCTTCAAAGCTGCAGCTATAGAAGGTGGACATATCTGCTCCACTTCTTACTGCCACTGCTTGACCCTTGCTTGGTCCAGCAGTGTTACGGAATGTTATGTTAACTGCTACAAAACCTTGAGCAACCACAGCTGAAGAAAAAGAAAACGTTTATAGCAAGTAACATAAATGGCACAAACATGTTTATGCGTACATGATACAACTAAAAAAAGAGTTGAAGGAGAGGAGTGAGCGAGGATCAAGCTTGACACTCTTGTGTATAAAATTTGCCAAAAACGTTTGATAATAAGGGCATCATTAGTCATAAAAATAATTATGCATGTGCATGCAAATTATTTGTGCTTACCTACTGTCGCTGAGTTGAATGTTGTAAAATTATCTCCAACACTGTGATTCCCCGTGATGATTGTACGATTGATTCCATATCCAACTAGCATCAAATACTTCTTGTTTTTGTCAATGGATACATATTCTTGGTACACTCCCTCCGTGATTAAAACAAGGAAGTAGCCATTATCAGCAGAACTATTGTCCGGTGCAGCTGCTATTGCATCGTTGATAGTGGTAAAGTCTCCGGTTCCATCTTGACTCACAACCACGATGTTACTAACCACAACACTTTCATCACTTTTATCTGTTTGTAGTAGTTTCCTCCCATGGTGGCTAGCAGAATCATAAATAGCACGTGCTCGGTCTGACATGGTCAATGGGAGGCGACCATTTTTGAAATTCAAATTTCTTCCATTTTGGGGCCATGATGTCATGATTTTCTTCTCAGGCACCCAACCCTTTACAAACAAAGCCAAAGTGACACTGTGAAGCTTCGTATCATCAGATAGGGATGGCAATACGTCATCCTTCACTCTTGCATCTGAAGTTGTACTCTGTAGCCCTTCTAAACATGTTTGTTGGTTAGTCAAGACAGCACTGAGATAGGTTTCAAAATCTTCAGCTTGAGAAATGGGAAGAACACCACTAGCTTGGCTTGCAGTGGCATAAATGTTTGATAAGTATTCAAAATTTTGTTCAGCAAGGTATCGACAGTCTTCAAGAGCACCAATAGTGTATTGAGACAAATACGAGCTACCTTGAAGATACGAATCCACCAAGTAAAAGAACTTACGGGCCTGTACCAAGGACTTTTGGAAAGAAATGCGACCATAGTCGAAGATATTGCCATTTTGATTGGCAAGCACGGTTTTGCAATAAGTAGGGTCTACGGTGGATCCGCAAATGGTTTCGGGTGGAATGATGGAGGGTGAACTGGTATCTGGGATGGAGAATGATGCCAAGACAGAGAAGGAAAGCAAACAGGAAAGAGAGAATATAAGGACAGATGTGTTCTTAAGAGCCATTGGTTTTGTGGATCAAGGATCTAGGGTTGTTGTATCTAGGGATGAGCATAAGGTGCTTGGCTAGTTGAGCTATTATATAGAAGGGCAAAGATTTTGTCTTATTGTAATCAGTGAGAAAGAAAGCTTTGCTTGTTGGAAGTCAAGTAAGAGAATTTGTGTTTGTGATCGTGTTTTGGAGTTGTTGCCATGGCTACCACGAACGCAGTTACAACCTACCGTTTTGAATTTTCTTATCAGAGGCTTAATTAGGAAGAATACATTAAGTTTAATTGCTGTAAACGTGCATGCATGCATATCCCTTGGGATTATATTTATTCATATACATTGCTACTTGGGTCATGGTTTATCTGATACCTGCGGGACATAATCAAATCATAGATTGTCAACGACGTGGTGATTTCCACCATTCACAAGACACAGATATAAAATGTGTATGGTCTTTGACAAATAAATATGTTGTTTTCTCACCATTGTATTGACAAAATCACAAATATGAAGCGGGTGAAATGACCATCGTGTCAACGTAATAGCATACTATTTTTTTCTTATTGGGAAACATTTTTAACATTTTTCTATGAATATAATATAAACATATATCATTTTTAACTTTAACATATATCATGTGCGCTGTAAAGATAAAAATGGCTTTTCTTATCATGCCCAAGTTATACATTTAGTATGTATATGTATTTTTTTATACATAAACTATAATAATATAAGAATAATAAAAAATAAGAAAGTTGATGCTTTTTACCAAAACTACATATCTATTTTTTATATTAAATATTTATTTTTTGAAAATACTTAAAGATAAAACATCCTGGAAATTCTAAAAAGGGATCATGAGACTAGCTCCTAATGTTTAACAAAAATTCATGAGAATCGCAAAACTTTCGCTTTAACTTTTCCCAATCCCATTGTAACTCCAGCCCACACAGATGGTACCTTGCATGTTGTATTTGACATGTGCTAGATGCTGTCTTCTTCATGACCTGCTTCAAGCAATCTAACTCCCTCAGTAAGAATCATTTTGAATTCTAATAATTAAGACTCACCGATTGAATATTAGTTCCTTTTGTGCTCTTTTATACTGTACTATTTGAATAATCTCAAAATATGTTTTTTTTATATATATTTGAAATTTTAATTTATATATATAAAAAATTCTTGTATATGTTTTTTGAACTTCTGAATAGCAAAAGATCGGAAAAAAAAATAAAATAAAATGAAAGAATGAGAAAATTAAGAATGTCCCAAATCAAAAGACTAAAGTGGTTTGGATGTTCTTATCAATATATATATATATATGATTTATTTTTTAAAATAAATATTTAATTGAAGAATTCAAATAATGAATAAGAAACTAGGTAGACAGGAAGAGATAAAAAACATGCATTACATCTCATATTTTAAATTATATATTATAATTTCAACTTTAAGCTTGATCCAATTTAAAATTTCTATTACATTCTCTCGTAATACAGGTGATATCTTAAATGTCAAATTAGATATTTGTGAATAATTTGATAACAAGGGTCCACTACAAGAAAAAACACATTTAGCCACCGAAATTAGCGATCGAATTTTTTCGGTCGCAATTAGCGACCGATTTAGCGACTGATTTAATTTTAGTCGCATTTAGAGACCGATTTAGCGACCACTTTAATTCGGTCGCAATTAGCGACAGATTTAGCGACCAAAATATGATTTGGTTTTCACTACTTTATTTAGCGACCGAAATAGCGACCAATTTTTGTGCGTCGCAAATTTTTAGTCGCTAAATCGGTGACTATTTCATACATAAATAAAAAAATCATTTAGCGACTAATTTAGCGACGAAATTACACATTGAAATAGCGACCGAATTAAAATCGGTTGCTAATGAGAAAATAATACATAATTATATCTGATTTTTGCAATATCGCTCAAGCGAAAATAACGTCGCTCGAGCGACACCACCTGCAAAAATTGACATTCTCGGGTTGTATTTCGCTTGAGCGACATTGGACTTGCTCGAGCGACATTGGCACTTTTAAGAGCGGTTAATATTTTCACCGCTCTGAAAAGTGAACATATAATAGCGGTTCCAGTGGAACCGCTATCATATACAACAAGATTTTGACTCTGATCGATCAGATTTTCAAAATGATCGATCATATTTGCTAATTTTTTCAAAGAATTAATTATAATCGATTAGTTTTGTAAATTATTGATTAGAATTGATTAGTTTTTCAAATAATAGATTAGAATTGATTAATTTCTGAAATTATATTCAAAAATCAAGAGGGGGGGTGAATTGATCTTTGAAAGTTTTTCGCAAATAACAGATTATCTAATTCGAAAATTAAGTTTAAAGATCTGTTCTTGAATCTCAAAGCAATCAATCAAAATAATGCAAGCAACAGAATTTAAAGGAGAGAAAGGTTAAGAAAGATATCACCTAGTATTTTATACTTGGTTCACCCAATACCAGGGCTACGTCCAGTCTCCGACCAAATTCCAGCTGGGTTCCACTAGATTAAATGTTTTACTGATTCAAAAATCTTACACCTAATCTATCACAAGAACCAAATTCCAGTCTCGCACTCAACCTCTCACCAAGAATCAAATTCCAGTTCTTGATAACCTCTACAACCAAATTCCAGCTAGAGAGAAACCGAGTGCCCAAATTCCAGGCACCAACACCTAACCTTTCACCAAGAACCAAATTCCAGTTCTTGACAACCTCTACAACCAAATTCCAGCTGCAGAGAAACCAGTGCCCAAATTCCAAGCACTAAACAATACAAAAAGAATGTAAAAGAATTGAAAAAGAAGAAACTAGAAAGCTCAAACCAGTTTATGCTATTCTGCAGTGAGTTTCTTCTTTAAAGAAAAGCAATATGCCTCAAGAAAGATTTTTAAAGAACTTCTCAAAAACTGCCGCGAATCTTTCTTGAAAAGAGTGCTAAAGTTGCTTGATTGATTGCTTAAGGATGTGTGAAAACTTATGTGTAAAAAGTTTCAAGCAACTCTGTTTTTAAAGAAGATTTTCAAAACTGCTGCATTAATTAATCTGTTAAAAGTTTGTTTTAATCTGTTGAAATAGTCGTTTCAATCTGTTAAAAGTCCTTTCAATCCATTAATACGTTCTTGTTTCTTTAACAGATTTGTTTTAGGTGATACAACAACGTTTATATCAGTTAAGACACTTAACAAAAAATCTTCTAAGCTGATTTAATCGATTGTTTCGCGATTCAATCGATTGAAATACTGCAAACCTTTCTTATAAAACTTTTCAAGTTATTTTAACTGATAAACCATAGGTTTTAATCGATTAAAAATCTGTACAAAATTTTTCCAAGTTGTTTTAATCGGTTGAAATGTGTTTTAATCGATTGAAACAGATCTGATCGGTCATAATTCAATTCGATCGATCATAACCAACTCGATCGGTCATAACTTCATTCTGATCGATCATATTTGCTAATTTTTTCAAAGAATTAATTATAATCGATTAGTTTTGTAAATTATTGATTAGAATTGATTAGTTTTTCAAATAATAGATTAGAATTGATTAATTTCTAAATATATATTCAAATATTATAATTAAAAATATAGATTATTTAAGAATATTAACTATTGTAAAGATAAAGTTGAACATGGGAGGAGATGAGGATGATAATATAATGATAGAAGTTACAAAAATGTAGAATTGAGAAGTTTGAAACAAAAAAAACTAAGCAAATAGAGATTTGATTACACTTTTAATAAATTGAAGATAATACTAGTCTTGATTTTTATTTTTAACTATTTATTTTAATTATTTAAAACAGAGAAACTATAATTTGACTTTCTAAATACTCAATTTAAAGAATTAAATTCATTATTATTTAATCTTTTAATTTTAGTATTAAAAATCTAAATTATATTTTATTAAATTAAAATAATTACAATATAATTTTCTACTTTGAGAATGAACAATATAATTAAACTCAAAATTGAGAATATTATAATACATTTTTGAACTCTTTTGGATTAATTTTTTTTCCTAATTTTTGATAAAGTTAATTATAATATTTAAAAGTATTTAACATTTTGAATTCTGAAAGGTTTTCTCTAATAGAAAATTTAAAAACATAATATTCAAGAAAATAATTAATGTAAGTTGTGATTATGATCGATCATAATTTGAAATGATCGATCATAATTGAGAGGATTAGATAGCGGTTCCACCTTACCCGCTATCTAAAGTGTATGTTAGATAGCGGTTAAGGTTTAACCGCTATTATAAGTAGTTTTTAATAGCGGTTCGAGTGGAACCGCTATCATATACAACAAGATTTTGTGTTACTTGATCGATCAGATTTTCAAAATGATCGATTATATTTGCTAATTTTTTCAAAGAATTAATTATAATCGATTAGTTTTGTAAATTATTGATTAGAATTGATTAGTTTTTCAAATAATAGATTAGAATTGATTAATTTCGAAATATATATTCAAAAATTATAATTAAAAATATAGATTATTTAAGAATATTAACTATTGTAAAGATAAAATTGAACATGGGAGGAGATGAGGATGAAAATATAATGATAGAAGTTACAAAAATGTAGAATTGAGAAGTTTGAAACAAAAAAACTAAGCAAATAGAGATTTGATTACACTTTTAGTAAATTGAAGATAATACTAGTCTTGATTTTTATTTTTAACTATTTATTTTAATTATTTAAAACAGAGAAACTATAATTTGACTTTCTAAATACTCAATTTAAAGAATTAAATTCATTATTATTTAATCTTTTAATTTTAGTATTAAAAATTTAAATTATATTTTATTAAATTTAAATAATTACAATATAATTTTCTACTTTGAGAATGAACAATATAATTAAACTCAAAATTGAGAATATTATAATACATTTTTGAACTCTTTTGGATTAATTTTTTTTTCCTAATTTTTGATAAAGTTAATTATAATATTTAAAAGTATTTAACATTTTGAATTCCGAAAGGTT